GCCTTCCCTCTAGTCTTAACTGCTAAATTAGGGACGGCTAGCGCAGATAGCCCTCGTGTAGCTTTGCGCGAAATTCCAAAAAACAAAAAAACAAACAATTCTTATAGGAAGTCGATAATACAAAGACAAATGTACTTTAATCATTGCTAAAACCCACCCATATTGTTACAGGAAACATAGAGTACGGAAACAAAATAGAATTTAAGCTCTGGACAGTTTTTACCACGTTCAAGAAATAGAGACAAAAACGCCTGGCAACAGAATCTAATCCCCGTATGTCGGATTTATAGAGCTGGTAAAAGTCGTTATGTGTTTGTACACTATTCAAGATTTCCGGTCTGAGGAAAATATTCAAAAAGAAACGTACAGCATCATTTTCGTTATTATTTCACTGCAGATCTTCTACGCTGCACGTTTCATGTACTTGTAGGCTTAGAATAATTGAATGGTCCTAAGAAAAAAAAAAAAATCCTGTATAGCAGACGTATCTACTTGGACCAGAATATTAACTTTAATGTAAAATCGCTTCCAGGTCTTTTAATGTTTTACAATTTTTACTTCGGGTAAAACAAAAATAGCAAAAATGTCTTTAAAATCTGCAGTGTCCACCGCAGGGAATCAAACGCCGGATTTTTCGAGTTATGAGCATGTAAACTAACCGCTGACCCATCGGGAGGCTCATGTGGTCACAAAAACTTTCTTCTTATCGAAACGAGGTTTGATCCTATTAAACAATGCATCAAACTACCTGGGCAAAGAAACTCATTCAATTATACTTTTCATAAGGCATTAGTATTAGGCCTATTGGATTTTTAAACACTACATTATTATAAAGTCTTCTTATTCTTGAAAAGCCTAATACTAATGTCGTATAAGTATAGTTATAATTATTCTTCGCCGGGTTCTAAAATGCGTACACGCCATATCTAGACAAAGGAGCTCTTTAATTGTGGAACTTAGGCCTAAAGTATAATTAATTAATTAATCTTTTCGTCTTAAGTCTTTATTATTATTCAAAATATTCATACGTTCTAGCCATAATTGTAGACGTTCATTATTTCTAATTACTATATAGAAGGAGGTAAACATTTATATTGTGTCCGCCAGGTGGTAACAACGTGTTGGTTAAAATCAGCCAATCATAAGACCACCATGTTTTACTTCAAGCATGGTGATGGTATAAAAGATCGGTCAAACTGTTGCCTGTGTAAGGGTGGTCTAATTACATTTTTTTTTTTACATCCAGTCAATCGCTCATATATTTGCTAGCTAGTTGTTTAAACATGTGTTAACATTATGTGCAGACACATAAATAGTATTTCATTCCTATACGTTTAATTATATAATAATTTTACTCTCATTCTACAAGCATACATTATGTCCCCCCGTGGGATAGTTGTAATTCTACGAATTTACACCGCTAAGTTATGGTTTCGATTCCACTCGGTGAACACAGTAAAAAGCCTGACATTGCTTTGCGCTAAAACAAACAAGCAACAGAAAAAACAACAACAACAAATTGGTCAAGTGGATATACTATGTTACGTTAATGCAGAAGTTCCGAACCAGGGGTGTTGGGTGGGGGTGAAATGATGGTCCAGGGGGTGCATGGAAGAGGCCTATACAAGGTCCGTTTTCCACCAAATGTCGCCAAGACGAAATGTCTAACGCACATTTTTTAGAAGAGGGGTACGAGGGCTTCCTTAGAGGGTTGTTAGGGCCACAAAAAGATTGGGAATCACGGCGTTAATGGCTTAATTCAATATCAGTTCTATAAAAAAATTACACACACGGTATACTTTATACTGCCTGAAGTTTCTTTCTTTCTGTTATGCACAAAGCTACAAAATGGTATCGAAACCGGATTTTTAGCGTCAGAGCTCCAACGAATTACCGCTAAGCCTAATTAGCAATACAATCTTAGTATACCGACTTATTTCTTAAATGAAAAGCGATTACGTTAGCGTCATATTACTGTTTGCCAAGTATTCCTGTTTTTGTTTTTTCTCAGGAGAAACTAATAGGTTTTCAAGTTATGACGCATCATTTGTCCTTATGACGACACCCACTTGAAACCACGAAACCACTTATGGAGTGTGAAAAAAATCCATATATAATAATAATTTATCATAGTAAAAAAACAAACAACAAAAATGCAAGCAGCACAACAACGCCATCTTTCAAATTAAGATGTATTTTTTTATTAACGATCTAAATGCTTAGGTGAAATGATATGTAGAAATATTTTACTGCTATCCCTATAGTGATATGTAAAAATATTTTACTGCTATCCCTATAGTGATATGTAAAAATATTTTACTACTATCCCTGTAGTGATACATAAAAATATTTTACTGCTATCCCTATAGTGATATGTAAAAATAAAAATATTTTACTGCTATCCCTGTAGTGATACATAAAAATATTTTACTACTATCCCTGTAGTGACATGTAAAAATGAAAATATTTTATTACTATCCCTGTAGTGATATGTAAAAATAAAAATATTTTACTGCTATCCCTATAGTGATATGTAAAAATAAAAATATTTTACTGCTATCCCTTTAGTGATGTGTCAAAATGAAAATATTTTATTACTATCCCTGTAGTGATATGTAAAAATTAAAATATTTTACTGCTATCCCTGTAGTGATATGTAAAAATATTTACTACTATCCATATAGGGATATATAAAAAAAATTTTTACTATTCCTGTAGTGATATGTAAAAATATTTTATTACTATCCCTGCAGTAAACTTAGTTATATTTCAATTTGTTAGTAGAAATAAGATAGCACAAAAAGTTGTCGAACGGTAATATAAGACAATAATCATTCTAAAAAGGGATTTGATACTTCTGAAAGTTCTCCAGTTGTACTTGATGTAACAGTCAACTCCTTATTAAACAATAGTTCTCCAGTAGTACTTGATGTAACAGTCCGCTATTTATTAAACAATAGTTCTCCAGCTATATTTGGTGTAACAGTCAGCTCCTTATTAAACATTAGTTCTCCAGTAGTACTTGATGTAACAGTT